GGAGGCCGATCCCCATACGGCCAACTGGTCTAATCCTCCACTGAAACCAGTCCATCTCATTGTTTTTTCTTATTCTCTCTTTTCTTTTCCATTAACCCACAGGGAGGCAACCCGGTTGTTCCTCCATCCAATTCTAATCATCAAGTGCTTCACAAAACAGGAGGCCACCCGCCGGGCTACAATCAAATCTTAATTATCAGGGTGCGCAACAACAAGAAGCCATCCTGTGGTTTTCCATTACAATCCATATGCATCAGGTGCACACGGGGGCGCCGATCCTCCCATTTTCCCGGCCCGACGGTCAATATCAAATATCATATTCAGGATCACATATCACAACCGTCCTCACCAAACCCATGGTGGTCCACTTCATCCCAATTCCCACACAAACAAGGCACAGTATATTCATAAGCACAAGTAGCACAAGTAATCAAACAATTTTTACTATCAACAAATAGTGCATCATAATATGGCAATTCAATAAAATAATGCATGATAACATTTAGCTGAGAATGCATGAATGCAGGCGGATGAGGCGAATTATCTAACACTACTCACAGTTCTTTATTGCCCTCTAAAGGACTATCTCTAGTACTGCATCCTTCTAGCTTTTGTCTCACCATCCCAGAGCTCATACACATCTAGAAAGAAAATCCTGTATAAAAATCCTAACCTCATAAATATACTTTGCATTCGTTACCACTTTTTGAGGCTCTATAGCTATTTATCTTATTCATTTATAATTTAAACTAATAATATATATATTATAGATAACAGATATTGGGTTTCCTTATTTATTTAATTCACTCTAATAAATTCTCTGATTTTATTTTATTTTATCTAACTCTAGTTTATTTATTTTCTTCTACCGAAATTTATTTTATTTTTATACCAAATTTATTTTTATTTTTCTACCGAAATTTCGGCATCATCTCCCTTAAAAATTTGACTATCTACCTATTAAAATATCAATAATTTCACAAATATTCAATCCATACGGCCCATCCGTCGGGCAATTAATCAAACAACATTTTCCCATTCTCCTCCAATCTCAACATCACCACACAATCCAAATTATACATTACAATAACATTATATTTAAACTACTTTAATTAAATCAATACTAAAATTATAAAACTTAAACTACTCACAATTTATCAAATTAAATTAACCAAATTAATTAACTACAAGTAATTAAAATTAATTTTAATTAACTAGCGTTTACTAACATGAACTTAACTAAACTAATTGAAACTACAAGTAATAAAAATTTAAAATTTCATTAACAATATTACTAAATTTAATTAACTTCAAATAATAAAATTAATTTAATTAACTAATGGACTTAACATTTAACTAATCAACTAAAATTATAAAGTAAACTAACTAAAATTTAAGTAACTATTCATAATAAAATTAAATTCATTAACTAAAATAATATTTTTAAAATTAATTTATACCCCCAATAATAATTTTTTTGTCTGAAATTTCTTCTGCTAGATCGGAAATTTCCACGCGTGCCGGATCGGAGAGCAGTAGCTGTTGGTGGTCGGAGGCACGCTGGAGCGGCGGCAGAGGAGTGATCCGGTGGTCAGAGGCTTGCTGGAGCTGCTGCAGGCCGGCGATGGCGCGACAAGATGGTGCTGTGATGGAGATCCACTCGAGCTGGTGCTGCATGCGGCTGCGACTGGCATGGCGCTGGAGCTGCGTGCGGCTGCGACCGGCGTGGCGCAGGTGTTGGTGGTTCGCGTCCCTGCTGTTGCTGGCTGAGGTCGACGCAGGCGCAGTCACAAAGGGAATTAGGCCGTGAAGATAAAGGGAAAACAGGATGTTTCTAGATTTGTTGGGGGGTCTTTAACCGGTTCGATTCGGTTCGATTGCCCAAATTTCGATTTTCAACCGGTTTCCGGCTTTTTCAATCGGTTTTCGATTCCGATTTCTCATGAAGTAACTCGCACTAAATATTAATAGCAAGTATTCGCACTAAAATATTAATAGCAATTTCCAGGCTGTCGGTTCGTTAAATTAAATTGGAAAATGTTTTGAAAATAAAAATTCGGGGTATTTCAGTTAACAAATAAATATAATATTGGTAAGGAATAATATTTTATTTTATTTTATTTTGTTTGCAATTTCATTTTACAAATTCAACCCATTAGCCCATATATTAATAAACTAATAAACTTTTCTTTTTTTCTAACGGCCCATCAACTGCTTCTAGTTACATTGGTAAATACTCGTGTATCCGTGCATTACTTGGGCTAAATCATTAAAAAAATGTCACAAATTTTGCGATACTTTTAATAGTATTCTAAATCCATTTTTTTTTCTCTTAATATTCTGAACTTCAATTTTAATTATAGAAACACCTTAATTTCAAATTATATTTAATTTAACGAATAAAATATTATTTTTATTGGATCTATACTCTCTCTTTTTTGGTCAGATTAACTAAAAATTCATTATTTAACATCTTAACTAATATTAGTGAGGAATTTAAATTCATAAAAAACCAAATAAAATAATAAATTTTAGTTAGTTATAAGCATAAAATATTAGTTTAGGTTTTTATTTTGCCAATTTTTTGAGCATGGAATTTTATTTATACTCAGGTTAAATCTTTTATAAAAATAGGTTTTATTCATTTATGGTATCATTTTATTTTTAGGGAATCATTACTGTTAATATTATATAAATAAAGAAAAGTATTGTATTTTTAAGATGATTAGATTATTTTTTATTTTAATATTTATATAAATAAATATAAATATTTATTTATTTATAAGCAGTGGTGGTGGGGAATGAGTCTAAATTGAGTCTCACAAAAATAAATGGGTGGTGGGAATGAGTTCTAATATAAATATTTATTTATTTATAAGCAGTGGTGGTGGGGAATGAGTCTAAATTGAGTCTCACAAAAATAAAATTTTATTCATTAAATTGGGTACTATTTGAAATTAGGATGCTATCGTAACTAAAATTAAAATTCAGGGTACTAGGAAAAAAAAGTTAGATTTATAAAACAATTAAAACTACCTACAGAGTTTGGAGTATTTTTAATGTTTTAGTCCATTACATGTAATATAAAATACAGCTCTATTCTATCAATAAGATGTTGGTTTAAGGTGATTAGCGGAAGCGCACAAGTCCGATTTTGGATGATTTCACACTGGTAGTTGGTTGATGATAGGAAATAATGCTAGTTTCTTCTTTAAAGCTAAAGAGCGATGACTAGTGTTAGACAACTTGATTGCCTATACATGTGCATTTATGCATACAATAATATCATGATTTCCTTGCATCTATGCTTTATAATGTATATGCTATATATGAATTAAATACAGTGAAGGATGATGCGTGCATGATGTCATGATATTACGTGAACTGGATACTTTCTGATGTTGGGGCTGGCTAATGCCTTGTGAGCATCCAGTATCACTCATTGATGAGATTTGCAAGTGATGGGAGTTTAGACTCCGATGGGATGCTGGTTTTCATTTGTATAGTTTTCGATGTAGATTGCAAGCGTTGGAAGTTTAAGACTCTGTCAGTACATTTGGCACATCGAGTGATGATGATGTGGGTTCTGCTGACTAAATCATTTGACGGTGTGATTGGATTCTAAAGTTTAATTATTTGTGGATGCTTTATGTGTCATTTGTGATTGAGCATGTGAGCATAGTAGGTTTATGGGTATTATATAGAATTCTTCATTTTATATGACTATATGGGGTGAGAGAGTCATTTAGCTTTACTCATTGAGTTTGAAGCGCTCACCCCCTGTCTCAATTGGGATGATATGATGGTGATCATATTGGAAATGGATCCCAACGTTTCCAAGGAGTTTCTAAGCATTTCTGCGTAGAAAATATTTTCGGAATGCGGAAACAACAGCCAAAGGAAATTTCAGTGCAACATGATGCACTACAGGTGCCAAAAAATTGGTGTATAATGAGAATTTCAAATTTTCATTAATGCAAAAATATGTTTTCATTGAAGTTTTGTAAAGATGTACATTTTCCGTAAAATATTTAAAAATATTAAAATATAGATAATTTGTGATAATCCTTTTATAAAGAACTCTTTTATAGAAAATTCCGAAAGTATTATAAAGTATACGAAATTATCATTTTATAATTCGATAACCTTCATAATAAACTATCATATCTTATAAAATACATAAAAATATTGCAAAATATTAAGAACCGTAGACCATCAAATTTTATTGAAAAAAAAAGACAGCTACCTTTACAAGATGGTAAAATTATAATAAAGTATTGACAATCAACGATATTAGTTTGTAACCAACAATTTTTTATAAAATATTTAAAAATATTACAAAATATTGGCAACTAAATATGTTACTTTGTAACCATTAATTTTCTTTTTCTAAAAAAAAAGCCACTAACAAAATATGGCAACTAAATATGTTATTTGGTAACCATGGCAACTAAATATGTTACTTTGTAACCATTAATTTTCTTTTTCTAAAAAAAAAGCCACTTTTTATAAATATCGGTAACCAGAGCTATTATTTTATAAATCATTAATTTTTTATAAAAAAAAAGGCATTTTTTTACAAAATATTAGAAAGCATTGTATTAGCACTAGAGCTATTATTTTACAACCCAAAAATTTACAGAAAGTAACAACTCTTTACAAATTGCAGTAATCATTATTAAATATAGTTAAATGGAGCTATTATTTATTAATTATAGTCTTGCTCTACTAATTAAATTATTGTACTAATTTCATCCTTCCAGCTCCGGCAGGAAACAAAATATTAAATGGTACTTTTAGCTAGTTTTGGTATACCGTACAAAATATTAATATTTTGGATATTGCTTATTCATTTTTATTAATAATAATGATTTTAATATTTTTAATAATTAGATACGATCTTCTAAAAAGAAAGGCTCATGATCTTTTAATATCAATTAAATAATCTCTGGCCATAACTTTTGTTCATCAAATGATTAAATAGTTATTGGCTTCCTCTACAAATACATGACACCACAAGAAAGACTCCAGAAGTAAGAAAATTATGGGTTCCAATTCCATGGCAGCAGCTAACCAGCCCCATGCCATTTTCGTTCCTTACCCAGTTCAAAGCCACATAAAAACAATGCTTAAACTAGCAAAACTCCTTTACTTCAGAGGCTTTCACATCACTTTTATCAATACTGAATTTAATCACAATCGTTTCATCAAAACTAGAGGTGCTAATTCCATGGAAGGCTTACATGGTTTCCATTTTTTTACAATTCCTGATGGTCTTCCTCCTTCAGATCCTGATGCCTCTCAAGACGTTCCTGCTCTTTGTGACTCTATAAGAAAAAATTTCTTAGCTCCATTTCTTGAAATTATTGCTAAATTGAATGATCTTGCCTTATCCAGTAAAGTCCCCCCCGTAACTTGCATTGTTTCTGATGGTTTCATGTCAACTTTCACTGTTTCTGCTGCTCAGGAAATTGCAGTCCCTATTGTCTTGTTTTTCACCATCTCAGCTTGTTCTTTGATGGGGTTTAAACAATTTTCTGCTCTCAAGGACAAGGGTCTCATACCACTTAAAGGTAACCAAGTGTTTTAAGCAATGTTTTAAGTAGCTTGAATTCTATAATGTATATATATTATCCTAAACTCCAGATTGCTTGACTAAGCTACTTTCTTTGCTTGAAGATGCGAGCGACTTGACAAATGGTTATTTGGAGAAGACTGTAGACTGGATTCCAGGCATGAAAGATGTTCGATTGAGGGATCTTCCAGATGCGAGCGACTTGACAAATGGTTATTTGGAGAAGACTGTAGACTGGATTCCAGGCATGAAAGATGTTCGATTGAGGGATCTTCCGGATGTCCTTCGAACTACTGATCCTAATGAAATTGTCTTCAACTTCGCCATGGAAAGTGTAGAGATAGCCATTAAAGCATCTGCAATTGTTACTCATACATTTGATGCATTAGAAAGAGATGTTCTGAATGGCCTTTCGTCTATCTATTCTCAAGTTTACGCAATTGGCCCGCTTCAGTTACATCTGAATCATATTCAAGATGAATCATTGAAGTCTATTGGGTACAATTTATGGAAAGAAGAATCTAAGTGTCTTCAATGGCTAGATTCTATGAAACTTCAAGATGAATCATTGAAGTCTATTGGGTACAATTTATGGAAAGAAGAATCTAAGTGTCTTCAATGGCTAGATTCTATGAAACCCAAGTCAGTTCTCTACGTTAGTTTTGGCAGCATTACTGTTATGACAAGAGAACAACTTATAGAATTTGGAATGGGATTAGCAAATAGCAAACATCCGTTTTTATGGATTATTAGGCCTGATTTGGTTATTGGTGACTCGGGCATCTTGCCACCTGAGTTTGTTGAATATACTAAGGAAAGAGGTCTAATTGCTAATTGGTGTCCACAAGAAGAAGTGCTGAACCACTCCTCCATTGGAGGGTTTCTAACACATTGTGGTTGGGGTTCGACGATTGAAAGTTTGTCAGCAGGAGTTCCAATGCTTTGTTGGCCTTTCTTCGCAGATCAACCAACAAATTGTCGGTACACTTGCTGCGAATGGGGAGTTGGAATGGAGATTGATAGTAATGTAAAGAGAGATGAAATTGAAAAGCTTGTTAGGGAGCTTATGGAAGGGGAAAAATGTAAAAAATTGAAGAAAAGAGCCATGGAATGGAGAAAATTAGCAATAGAAGCAACTAGTCCAACTGGTTCATCATCCTTGAATTTGGATAAATTGGTGTGTCATGTACTTTTGTCAAAAGTTTGATTGTCTGTTGAGAACTGCTATTGAATCTGAAAATTTTTATGTTGGATATGTTTGATACGTTCATGTTATAAATGTAAAGGAATGGAGTATGTTGAATAAATAATATAGTAATAAAATTCTCAAGAACATATACAAAATTACATTTCAAATGTGAATAAATTCATAATAAATTAATGAAACTAGTTTTGTCTGTTTCGAATCATAATTATTCCAAGGATGGTGATTCTAGTCATTGGACCATTGAAAGGACAAATGCATAGAAATTTATGAAACCAATTATCTAATTAACCATATGCATATTTTTTCGTCAAAAAAAAAAAAAACCATATGCAGATTTTAATTTTCCTCTTCCCACTGAATTATACTTGTTTATTGATATAATTAATACGTCTTTTTCTTGGCCGGCTGCAATTCCGTGATTACTTTCTTTATACTTGTTTATTGATATAATTAATACGTCTTTTTCTTGGCCGGCTGCAATTCCGTGATTACTTTCTTTGCACAAACCTACCACTTTTGTCCGTAATATCATTGTTTACACAAAATTCTTTGTTTACCAGTTTTACTACCTAACGGGTTTTTGCAATTACTCCTAATTTGACTTTCAGTTCACCTTTTCTCTTCCTTTTTCACTTTTCTTCCTCTTTCTATCTTCAGTCGGCTGTTATATATGTAATTTGAATTTTATTCAAACGTAAATAAAAATTGAAACTTTCAATATCAATCACCAACAACAGCAAGTGAGCTTGGAAGGCAATCAAAACTTGCCTCTTTCCTTTACCCATACTCATGTATTGTTAATTAATGGTTGGTTGCGGATTCGTAGAATGATACGATAATTAATATCACCGAATGAATAATTAAATTATGAGTTGCAAAATATGATGAAGCTTTCTCTGCATTCATATTTTATAGTTACAAAATAAAGCGTTATAACAAAGCTTGTCAAAGAGTCAATACCTAACTTTATTAACTCTAGCTTTTATAAAACATAATTCCATACAATATGGAACACCACAAACTAGATATTAAATCAGCTAGATTTTGGGCTACAATTAATACAAAATATCTTTAACTAGTTTCCAATGACAATCTCAATCATCTCAATGCTACTTCATGAGATTGTTATTGGAAACACCAAGTAAAGATCTCATAACTTTAAATTTAATTAGCTTTGGGCAAAGCTTTTGTGAGAATATCAGCCGCTTGTTTTTTAGAAGCACAATGAACAAGTTTACTTCACCATTTTCTCTGCATTTCTCAAGGCATGAAACTTCACATGGATGTGCTTTGTCTTGCCATGCTGAATAGGATTCTTAGCCATGGATATGACTGATTTGTTATCAACATAAACCACTCTTGCCATGCTGAATAGGATTCTTAGCCATGGATATGACTGATTTGTTATCAACATAAACCACGGTTGTTTGGTCATATTGCCGCTGTAATCACAAATAATTTTTCTTAACCAAATGGCTTGGTGTGCTGCTGAAACTGCTGCTACATATTCAGCCTCTACAGTGGACTAAGCAACAATGTCCTACTTCATTGAAGTCCAAGAGAAGACTCGCAAGCCAAAGGAAAAAGGTCCAAGAGAAGACTCGCAAGCCAAAGGAAAAAGCATAGCCTAAGGTGCTTTTGTAATCATCCAAACACCCAGCCCAGTCACTGTATGAATAGCCAACAAGAACAATAGTCTCCACATAGGAACAAATAAATATCATGATCTGTTATCCCTTTTATGTACCTAAGAAACCTCTATTGAATCAAGTTAATGTTTCATTCTATTGAATGTAAGTGATCAAATATAAGAGGGATAAAACCTTAGAATAATTTGTAATAGAGATTAAAAATCCTAAAATTGAAATTAATTGACAAATAAATGTTAAAACAGAGGCAAATATCAAAGACTAGGTATGGCCGCTTCATGTTCACAGAACTGGCGGTTCAAAATTTATTGAACTTGAACCAGATCGAACCGTTGGTTTCAGTCCGATTTTTGTTTCCGGCTGTTTCGCAGCAATTTCGATGAACCGTCTCTTCCAATAATGGTTTCTGGTGATATCTGTATTATTTTTTTCAAGAAAGTTAAAAATTTGGTTCTAAGATTACATCTTTCTTTCGATAAAATTAATATGAATTTTTTAAAAAAAAAATTTGTAACTTCAGTTTTAAATAACTTATTAGAATGTTCATAACTCATATAAGAAATAAAATTAATTAACTTTGCAAATAAATACAATATAATTAAATTTTCATTTTATATTATATATAAATGTTAATTAAATAAATTGTCAGAAAATTTTGAAAAATGCTTCAAATAATGTAATTGTGAAATAAGTAAAAAAAATTAAAAGAAAATAACATTAAGCTCCCATTTCTATCAAACAATATTTTCAACTTTACCTTTGTTTGGGATTAAAGAAACTAAGAAACAAACTTGAACAAATCTGAAGCCATTGATGAAGAATCCATGAAAGATTAATTCAATGGAGAAAGAAAATGATGGAAAAGAAAGGAAAACAGAGGAAAATATGAAACAAATTGAGTAACTTTTTTTTTTTTTTTTGAGGAAAATATGAAACAAATTGAGTAACTTTTTTTTTTTTTTTTATTTTTTTTTTTTTTTTTTATTACTTTTGAGGAGAGAGACACCAGACTTTGATATTATAATAAATTTTGGTATTTTGGGGGTAAAAAATAACTCTCAAATTTATTGAGAATAAAAATATTTATATACAACTAAATACAAGTATAAATCTCTTACTATCTAATAATCCTAACACATTATTATTTCGCTTTTTTTGCTCCATTTTAAACTATTATATGAATATACTCTCGTTATTTAATTCATTAAACACTGATCATATTAATATTTAGTGCTCTAGGTAGAATAAGTTTTTTTTTTTTTAATTATTGGAGAAGGATAATTCAGATTTAAATCTATAATCAAATCATATATGCACTTATTATTAGATTATGTCTTACTCTAAATATAGAATAAGTCATTAGATGATCCAAATGATAGAATGAGATATTGAAATAACAAAATGAATAAAAGAAATAAAAATAATTAAAGCCAATATTTGAAAATAATTATTTAGGGTGCTTAACACTTTTCGTAAATAAAAATTGACTCATGAATCAAAATATAACTTTATGATTATTAGTTAGTAGCCCCAATTGTAGAAAGTTAACTGAAACATCCCGAATTTTTATTTTCGAAACTTTCGAATTTTTATTAAATTGAAAATCTCGATTTTCAACTATATGGGCTATAAATACCAAACAATTTCACCAAACAATTTCAATTTGAGCCCAAAGTTTTTAATAGTTGGGCCCCAAGCCCAAATAAAATGTCGAAAATTTTGAAATCGGTAAACAGATAGATTTTGAGAAATAATATGAAACCCCAGTATTTTAACCTAACTATGAATATAATAAAAATTAATTATCCAAAATCAAAATACTCTTATTAATTGTTTATTATTGAGTAAATTGAGGAAATGTTCCTAGAACCTGAGGATACCAAAACAATTAAAATAAATCAAATCAGACCAAGAAAACTAATTAATATTTTTTGAAACTGATCAAATACTGAATAGCACCAAACCGGTTCGAATCGAACCGGAATAATCTAGAAACTGATTTATTTTCTTTTTCTTCCTCTCTTCCTCTTCTTTCTTCGTTTTTTTTCAGCAGGAGTGGCGACCCCCCCCCTCTCTTCTTCCTCCCTCCATTAGTTTTCCGGTGACCTTGTCATCACCAAACGGCTCCAGTCCTCTCCTTCATCGACGGCGAGCTTCTCCCTCTCCTTCTTCGTCTCCGATTCTGGCAAAGCCTGGGAATCACGAGCAAGTCGCCATTCTGTTTCGCTCGAGACAGTTGCGTCTCCGGCGATTGCGGACCAGTCGAGTGGTCCTTCTCATCGGCGGCGACAACCCCTCCAGTCCTCTCTCTCACTTCGTGTAGTTGTCGTTAGCGCAGCAAGGGAGGCGCATGGGTTGTGTTAAACTGATCTACACAGCCCCCATTTTCTGCTTTTCTTCCCGTTTTTCGGCCAAATGAGCTACTAGTCCAACAAACAAGCGTTAGATTTGGGCTCTCAAGGAAATTTCGAGCAATTTGGTGTGGACAACGTGAAACTCTGGGCAGAATCGACTTTCCGGCCACCGTGAACGGCGGTCCGGCGAGTCTCCGGCGAGGCCCCAAAGAAACAGAATTGTTCCCTCCTTACGCTGATCATGGAATCATCATCCGACTTTCGATTGGTACGCCCTAAGACCCAGTTCTTAATTTTTGTATAAATTTCAAATTTAATTGATTAGTAAATTTAATCGATTATTTAAGAAGATTTAATAATAACAAGAAATTAGAGTATTGGAATAGTTATATGCAAACAAAACATTTTGTCTTTAATCGAATATGATTCCTCATTAGGGAACCTCGTTAGATAAATACACTAAATCTTGAAAATTTAGGTTACAAAGTCATTTAGAATAATTGTTACAAATCGAAATTGAAAGATAAATTAGAATTAGTTAATTAGTTAATTAGATAATCATTAGTTTAAAATTAGCCGATCGTGCATAAGAAAAGTAAGGCGAATTTTAGTTGGTTGGTTGTGCATAAGATAATTAAGAGGTGTTTTCAAATGATTAACGGAGTTTAGATGTATAATTCTGATAAACTAAGATTTCGAAAGCCTAACCACTTCTGATATGGATATAAGAATATAAGAATCAAATCTAGATAAATAATAGTTATAAATAGTTATTGTTAAAAATGGGTTTTAACAACTTAACAATTTAATTACCACAAAGTTATTAATTTGGTCAGCTTATGATTTAGCAAATAATTTTATATGAGTATTGTTGAAACAGGTTGAAAGTTGTTATATTTATAAACTTATGGTTGAGATAATTGGGTGTTGATACTGATGTTTAAGGAGGATGGGACTTAAATTGTTGATTGCCCGACGGATGGGCTGCGTACATTGATTGATAAATATATATAATATTGTGATATTTGAGCAGGTAGATAGTCCAATTTTTAGGGGAGGTGCTGCCGAAATTTCGTTCGATAGAACTTAGATTAATTTTTAATTAACAACAAAATTAAATAAGTTTAGTTAAGATCA